TTTCACAGGTTTTTTTCAAGCTTTCGAGACAGGTTTCGAATGGGTTGCCGTCGCAAAAATACTTCTTTGCTTAAGTTTGGATTTTGGCGGGAACGACGGCGCCCTCTTACCCAGGCTCGCTCGTTTGTAGACGTCGCCGTCGCCCGAAAAACGTCTGGTGCTTAAGTTCCCTAATAGCTTGCGAACGGCAGACGCATTTCCGTTCGTCGCTTCTCTTCCTCCTTCAGAGGAACAGAAGCGACGACCGGAAATGAGTCTGCTGTTTGCAGGCTACAAAGCGATGAACTGCAGTTAAAGATTAGGTTTTATCACTGTATCTTAAACTTTTTTCTGTAGTGAATCAAAACCCACTGACTCAAGTTGAACCAACACTTCAGTGATATCAAGAGATAGAAAAACAATAGTGTCTAAGCATTACAATGTAGTTTGTTTCCTTTAGATAATTTTCCTGCAAATGCAATTACGCTTGCGTCTTTCATCCATGTGATTATTAAACATGATAACAAGCCACTAACACTTCCTGTGTAACTAACTTATTTTGATATAAAGATAAGTTTCGATTTTCTGTTATGATTTCTTCTTATGTCAAAAGTTCTCGGTTGCAAACATCAAATGTACGATATTTGGCAGTCTCCTTCTTGTTGTGATTTGTTCGATGTAAAGGAAACCCCTTTGTAACAAGATGAGAAAAAAGGCAGAAAATTTCAAATTAAACATCCAAATTCAAACTCGATCAGTGGACATGACTAAGGGGGCTTTCCATTTGCCAGAACTAGCCGGCAGACCATGACTGGACCAGTCAGTTTGAAAATGAAATCGGCTTTCTCCAAGAGTTTTTACTGAAAAACGTTCTCCTTCGTGCATACTATTTACGATTTGACTGATCTGGCTGGAGAGTTTTGATTGAAAGTGAAATTATCATTGCGACGGGAAGGGTCACGTGGCCGGTCAGTTCTGACAAATGGATCGGAAAGCGCCCTAAGTTTTAACATTCATTTGTTTGAACCTCTGTTTAAGCATTTAGGTTCAAATCTGTGTTGAGTGTGTATTTTGGAGCAAATAATCTGTGTTTCTTCTATAAAATACAAAAGACTTCAAAAAGATCAATGCTTAGATTTCACTAACAACAACAGCCACACGAACGGAGGTGGCCTATATGTGCTTTGGCATGAAAGTCACGATACTTTAGAGTAAAACAAAGTGACCAATATATGCGGAAATGGCTAAAAGATTCGAGAAAGTAGTAACTTTCAAGATTACGTGAAGAAAAGGAAATGAATTAGGAGCAGGAATAATATTGGCCCTGCTAACTTGCGCCGGCAGTTACATCAATCAACAGCGTGCATTGCAGGTGTTTCTTTGGGTGCACGAATGCTTTTGCTCGCGTAACCGCAATGCTGAATTCTACAAAACTTTCTTTCGCCCTAATGCCTACCCCTGGGGTTGTAATTTCTACTCTCCCCAATCTTCCTCAGTGATAACTAAAAGATCACGACTACCGTATTACGAACATGAACAAGCAACTTTTGTTCACCCAATATTTGTCATATCCTAAAAGGTTGACTGGACCTTGGACCCTGGACTCTGGACTTACCCCCCCCCCCCCCCAAAAAAATTACTCTGGACCCTTGAATCGCCTTCCCCCCGAACAAAATTCACCCACGCACCCGAGTGTAGCTAAATTTCGTGGGTAGTGGGTAGAGGTCGTGGGTGTGGGTAAATATCGTGGGTAAAAAAAACAAGTATAGAAAAAATAAAATAATTAAAAGTAATTGAAAACAGAAAAGTAGAAAAAAATGTAACAAATTTATGAAATGGAAATCCCCGCGGTTAAATGTCGTGGCTCCTGCTGCAGGAGCCCATAGGCGCCTAAAAATATAGAAAGAAAGAAAAAAAATTAAACCAAAAAAATAAAAAAAAAAAATAAAAGAAAGTTCAATAGCAAAAAGTTGTAACATTCATGAAAATCTCCGCGTACACACCAGTCGCATTCCCCTTCTCCTCGGTCACCAAAGCAAATAAGCGAATCCTTAGTACAAACGGACATCATATCTTGCGGACACTAAAAAGGCATTTAGACGAAAAATAAAAGAAACTCAGTACACTATATAAACACCGGAAGCAGGCTAGAGGAAAAACTGGAGACTGAATTGCTTTTTCTCAAAGATGTCAACATTCGAGACTGAAACGTCTTTTCAGCTTAAGAAGTGATATTCAGGAAGAGAGAATAAGCTCATTCTCTCTTGTATTCAATCGTCACAGCAAAGACTTTGTACACCAAAAAAAAAAACAACAAGAAAGAAAGAAAGAAAATTCAGTTTGCGTTGTCATTCTAGCAAAATCTGTCTCACACACCTCCTGTTCCTAAACGGCTCTGTTTTCAGTTAACGGTTGGAAATATCCCGACAAAGCATTCAGAACAGTGCATGTGAAGTCATATGATCAAACATACGAGAAAAAAAAAAGGTTTCACACAACAGGCTCGCCTTAAACGGCTGAGCATGAAGGTGGACATAAACCTTGCATGAGAATGATCTCAATCTAAACTAGCTGTCTTAGCTATAATTAACCGTCATGATGAAAAACAGCAAAGAAGAAGGTCGGCTTGTCTGAAATATCGGGGAAAGAAAAAAACAAAATCTCTCGGCCTATTTTTTTTTCCGATGCTGTTTGACTCTTCAATGATTATCAGAGATAACTAAATTTGCAAGACATTGTCAACACAATTATAATTTTAATACTTATTAGAATTAAAATCAACAAAAGTTCAATAAGCTGTTTATTTTACACATCGAAAGTGTCGGTTTTCTCAGCATGAAATCATGACCAATTTTTGGTATCTGTGTAACAATTTTTTCACACCCTAAAGCTAAGATGTCTATAAACGGAACTGTGAAGAAAACACTGAAGTCAGGGGGGTAAAATTACTTCAAAGTTGCTTTGCCTGATAACATTACGTTGTGCAGATAATCCATGGTTTGGTATTTTACAAAGTCGATGTACAACTTTCCCTTCACAATAGGGAAAGGAAATGGGACTGGTGTGTACGCGTAGATTTCCGTTTCATGAATTTTACAACTTTTTGCTATTCAATTTTCTTTTCTTTTTATTTTTTTTCGTTTCGGTTTGTTTGTTTATTTTTTCTCTCGTTTCATAATAAGTATTTATAACTTTTTTTCTATTTTTTTTTCAATTACTTTGCTATTTTTTCTATACTTTTTTTTTTACCCACGACATTTAACCCTATTCAGACTGGGGGGTGGCTTTTCGAACCCCCCCCTTCCGGCAAAATCGTGATAACTCCTACACCGAAAGACCTATGACATTCAAATTTTCTGACTTTTCCTAAAATTTATCTAGGAACATTTTGGTGTAACTACCATGTCCATGTGATTAATCATGTTGCCATGGCAACCAGTTTTTGACACATAGGTTTTGGAAAATTTTAAAAAAATGGTGATTTTTTTGTTTTAAGATCGCGTTTTTACACTTATAGTGCTTTTTGTTGTTAAAATGGTCTTTGCTTGGGACTAGTTTTTGAATTACATCAAAATGTTTCAACATCGAATATTTGGGGGGCAGGGGTGGGGTAAAATTTGTCACTTTTTTGCTTTGACAAATATGCTGCTCTATTTTCCAAATAACATTTCCAAAGTCATTTGTTTGGGTAATAAACATTAGTTTGATACTTCTTTTATACATTCTGAGCTTTTTCCCCTTTGAAAGTTGCTTTAAATTATAATTTTAACAAAAAAAACGGAAATCCAAGATGGCGGACAACCATTTCAAATTTTAAATTTTATTGCTTCCTATTGCTTTTTCTCGCTGTACAAGTGTTTTCTTGTTACTAGTTCATAAGAAAGGATAACAAAGAGATGACTTTACCAATATTATTGATATTTTACTTATCAAAGAGGAAAAATAATAAGAAACATTGAAAAATCGGAATATGACGTCACTGTGACGTCATCATTGGGCGTGGCAAGTCAAAACTGGGTGTGGAGCTTCTTTGTACGGAGATGATCATTGTGTGTAAATTTCATGACCCTAGCATTATTGGTTCCAGAGATACAGAGGGGGGGGGGAGGGTCCGAGGAGCCCCCCCCAGTCACAGATTGACCAAAAAGCCCAGTCTGAATAGGGTTAAGGTGACTTTTTTTTTTTTTTTTGGGGGGTACCAAACTACTTTGAAGCTCTCTGGTATCCCCACATTTACTTTTATCGTAAGTCTAACACATAGAATGGATAACATATAGATCAATCTACAATATAACATAAAATTTTTGGCTATCGCAGTAAATGTCACGTGGTTATAATGCCACGCCCCTTTGAGGTCTGAGTTGAAAATCTGCCGTTGCAGGCATTTTTTCGTGAAAATCTCTCGGCTACACATAGTGCGCACTAGTGCCTTGCGCTGAACAGAGTTTCACCAAAATCGCAAAGACCCAATTCGAGAAATTCAGCGGTTTCCAAATTTAGGTCATAATTTATGCGAAAATGATAAGCAAACTTTACACGATTATATCTAATAAACTATGAGACTTATCCCTTTATTTTGGGGATCGTTATAACAGATGGGTCCTTGCAAGTCATTAAAATGCTTGAGGGCCTTGTAAATGCGCGCGATTTCGAGCAAAGCAAACATACAGTGTATAGAAATTATAGTTTTAGCTATTTGTTGACGTTTGTCAGCGTTTAAGAGTCCTTCTCACGAAAAAAGCATTTTCTTAAAAATTCGTATTTTCTTTCCCTTCAAATTTTTTCAGGGCACAATTGATTAACTAACTACCCGGATTCTGAATTTCATGGTTATTGAAAAACTGTGACATTATCTTCTATAAGCCCAAACTTGAGTAAACATTGAAGATTTTTAGCGTTTTGTCTGAGTTTGTGCTTTGGGAGTTGTCTATTGTTTCTAGTCTGTCATGATACAGCATTCTTGTTCAGCACGCGTGGACTGACCGCGCTTGGCTGACTTCCGAATGCTCACCGAGATATGA